CCTTTTTTTCTTGGATTCATTTAATATTCTCGTTAAAAATTTAAAAAAAAAACAGTATTTCTAATGGCGATCAGATCACTTTTTACAGTGGCGCACGCAAGGGGGGGGTAAGGGGCTGTAACCCCCCTCCGAAATTTTCTCCGATGTCTAGGTTAAAATTTACAAATTTTACAAGTTTGAAATATGAAGAGCTAGTATTGAATACCTAATATCATTGATTATAGAATAGTCTATTTTATTATCAATGCTATTATTTAAGTCAAAATATATTAAGGATTTACATAATTTTGTTAATTGTAAAATGTGTTATATTTTTACCTTGACCCTTCCCGAAAAAAAATTCTGTGTGCGCCACTGCTTTTGAAACTAAACTATATTTAAATAGATACAAGACTAAAAATATAAGCATATATGTGAATAATAATTTTTTTTCTTTCAACAAATGTGGCTTGGCCAAATAAGGTTAAGTAATACGTGTTAAGATACGCATACGCCGATGACATAGTTTTACTGTCCGAATCTGAGAGCGACCTACAGAGTATGGCAGAATTTCTCATGGATGAAAGCAAACTAATGGGCTTAACTATAAATGATGAAAAAACAAAGTACGTGATACTGTCACGGAAAAATAATATACATAATTTGATAGTAAGAAATATGGAGTTCGAGTTGGTCGGAAATTTCAAGTATCTAGGGGAGGAATTGAACGTGTCAGGCAATAACCACAAGGAAATACAAAACAGAATAAGCTCGGCTAACAAGTGCTTTTTCGGATTAAAGACAATATTAAAATCTAAACTAGTTTCAATCAAATCTAAATTAATCTTATACAAAGTAATGATACGCCCGATAGCGCTATAGGCGTGTGAAATCTGGGCCACGACCAAAACAGATGAGCAAAACCTAGCAAGATTTGAAAAAAAGGTGTTACGGCAAATTTTTGGCCCCAGAAGAAACCAAAACACGGGATAATATGAGCGAAGAAAGAATGAAAAGATGATTAACATGTTAAAGGATTCGGACATAATAGCTACTATGAAAAGCAAAAGGATAAGCTGGGCAGGGCATATATGGCCAGACAATTGGTCAAGTCACCTACTGGAAGCCGAAGAGCAAAAGACCATTCGGCCGCCCAAGACAAAGGTGGGTAGATAGGGTCCATAAAGACTTGGATATGATGGGAATCTTGAACGACGAAGAGCTAGCCACGGATAGAGATAGATGGAGGGAAGTGGTGGTTGCGGCGAAGGACCTAAACGGTCTATATTAAGCCAAAGAAAAAAAAATACGTGTTAAGATTCAATTTTATCAATTTTCAGCATGCTCAACTGTTGACAAAAGAGGCTACAAAAAATATTAACACTTGTCAAAATAGTGAACAATACAGTTAAATTTATTTTAAAAACTATTACTTAATGTAGTTTTAAAAATATTTGCGAAAGGAATTGTTGTTATTAAATAATTTTGAGAATAATGTTAGAATAAAGAGTTGGTTGGAGAATTAAAAAAATTTGATGTAATTGGAATCATAAAAAATTTGGATAAACTCAAGTTGTGTTCTAGATTTCGAAAACAGCATGAATTGAGTCTGGACGTGTATTTTATGGAGTACATGAGTTAGATCCCGATTATTTTATGGAGTACATGAGTTGCCTATTAGCTTTACCAGGAAACACCACGTTGAGTTTGACTAGAATGTCTCCTAAAAATTTTGTTTTTTTTCTTACGTTAAATTGACGGTATAATGTAAAAATTATTATAATATTAATTAAAATTATTATTAAATTAGCTTAATTTTAACTTAAAAACATTGTGTTTTTTTTCTTTTTATCGTAAATATTTGTATTATAATAAGTTAATAATAAGTTTAAGCTAGGAAATAAATTTAAAAGATATGCCTTTTATAAAATTTAAATGAATCAATTCTCCACTAGTAAAACAAAGCATCCTTACTTATACGAAATTTTAATTTTCTACTGTTTTTTTGATTCTGTGGCTGAGCTCCGAAATGATACCTAAATTTCATTCTGAATTCCAAGTAAATTTTTTATTAAAATAAACATTTTTGAGTGAGTTGCACTAATATTAGCATTTAATTTTGCATGACAATTTTAAATAATTTATTAAATAAAGCTATTGGTGCGGACCAGAGTTGGGCAAAATTTTATCTAGATAATTATTCGATTGATTTTTTTACAATTCTTCGAATAAAAATGTATTCGACTAATTTTCAAACATAATTATTCGAATAATTTGGAAAAAATATTATTGGAATAATTTGTGATCATAATATTATTTGAATAATTTTTAAACATAGTTATCCTATCTTAGTATTTATAGTAGTAGTTAGTACTAATTACTAAATATGTGTTATGAAATAATGATTATAATTCTTCTAGTTTGTCACTAGTACTAGTTTAGTCCAGTTTCTGTACTATATTATATAGTCTCAGATATTTTGATACTATGTACTAACTACGCATGTTCAATGTTGTATTTCATATTTATAAGTTCAAATATATAGAGCTCTACACAAAAATATAAAGATACTAGATAGATATGGGCATGTAGCTATAAAAATTATCTGTTTGAATATATGATATCTAAACATCGAAGACGTGGTTTTATCAAATGTACATCGAATGTAGATTGTCTTATGATTACTTGTGTCGTATTTGCCGCATTAGTTCTTCTGTGCGTGATTCCGCGAGTGTATGAATGCGTGACAGGGTGTTTAATTTAATTTAAAATATCAATTTATTTCAATATGAATTCTGTGAATGTACGTAGCGAAGATTCAACAATTTCAACACAATGGTCATCCGAGGATAATATTGAAGTGTCTGAAATGACGGACTTTAACTGTATGTCTATTTTAGATGGTAAGTTTTTTAAAATAAAATCCAAAATGGACAAAAATAAAGTAATTGCTACTTGCGTAACATGTGAGCCACACTATGTTGAAATAAAAGGGTCAATTTTTATATTTATTTATTTTCATTTTTGTTATTATAATTTACTACTATTTATGATTATTGTAATATTTTTACGAAATATGATTATAAAATACTATTCATATTTAAATATTATATATATATTTCTTTACTTTCTTATATAAATGAATATTTGTTTTTTATTATACAATATTTTTAAATTTTTCCAAAAATTATTCAAATAATTTTTTATTCGGATAATTGTGTTTGAAAATTAGTCGAATAATAATTTATTCGAATTATTATGTTTGAAAATTAGTCGAATAATAATTTATTCGAATTATTATGTTTGAAAATTAGTCGAATAATAATTTATTCGAACAAAATGTTATCTAAATAATCATCTAAATAAAATTTTATTCGAATAACGCCCAACTCTGGTGCGGACCCAAATTGAATAACACCGCGGACCCAACTCGTGTTTTCCCAAAAAATTAGCGGAGAAGTTATTAGAAGAATCCTATCTAATCGCCTTATCACCGGATTGACGGCTATACAAATTCCTTGTATGAACATTTTATTTTAACAAAAACTAATTCAATAGTCATATCCTTGAATGCATTTGATAGATATTTAAAAAGAGAAATTCTTAGTTTTTATTTACAACCATATAATACAAAATAATGTTCTCTTTCTTGGTAATATCTTATCTATTCTTTATAATACCCACAGATATACGCCACTGAAAATGAGAGGAAATTAACATATGTTATAGTAAACAAATTTTGAATAAAAGTTAAAACAAAGTTATACATTGAATTCAAATTTTTTAGTATTTATTCATTATTAGGTCTGGAATTTAGTTCTGCAGATTGATAAGTAAACTAACTAATAAGTATTTTCATAGAACGCACCCATTAAAAAAATACAAGTCATGTATTGGAACAAGTGCATTATAAGTGATTATAGTAATTATAGAAACAAAGAATAAGATTTCTATTAAATTTTCGATTTTGGGGAGGCTATTAAAATATTTGGGGGTCTAAGCCCCCCCCCTCCCCAATGTCCACCTAAGGTTGTGGAAGTTCAGAATAATAGTTATTTAGCACGATCAATTAGTCATTAGATCTTAACTTAGTATAATATAAAGATAAGTATTTATGCATTTATTCGTTCTAAATAAAATATTCCAGAAAAAAAAGGAGTTATGTTTTGTACTAATGCAGAAAAATAATTTAACACATAAATAAATTATCGGTTGTAACTTATATCCTGCTGACATTTAATTCGGCAGAATTAACCAATCAAATCAAATCTTTTAAAATATTTTCTTTTGAGCTCGAAACATTATCCAGTGATTTTGATATAATTAAATTGTTAGTCATTGAAAATAATAACCTTATGACAAGTTTCCCGGAATTACTAAAGGCATTTTATTTATTTCTCACTTTAACAATAACTGTAGCCAGTGCTGAGACATAGTTTTCAAAGCTGAAATTAATAAAAAGCTACCTCAAAAACACTATGTCTCAAACAAGTCTAAGTGGTTTGGCCATAATATCTATCGAAAACAAACGTGCAAAAAAATTAAATATGTTGGCATTGATCAATACTTTTGCACAAAACCAAAGCCGAAAAAAATATTCACAACTTAATTTCAATATTTACCTACTTATAAATATATTAAAAGCATAAGGCAGTACCTATATTATAGGTATGTGTATTAAAGAATAAAGATGTTACATGAGAAAAACAAAATTCTTAGTTTTTTTTTTTAAACTCTGTCCTAGCAATTCGCCACGAAATTTTTTTACATTGGCCTCCAAGAATCTAGTTCCGCCACTATTTATATATATATATATATATATATATATATATATATATATATAAACTATTTGTTTATTTAATTAAATATTACTAAATATTTACATAGATAGGTAGGTTGATTATAATACGTTTTACAATCAAGTACACCAATTTTATTTTTGTTGATAAAATACAAATAAAAGAATATCCAGGAATGAATAAACCATTCGTAAGATAGATTACATAAGATGTCATACTCACATTAATGGAAATAGTTTCTTTGCCTTCAAATGTAAACTTTTCCAAATCTGGCTTCAAATATAAATCGTATACAACGGGTTTAACTGATAGTGGTAGTCGCAAGAAAGGTTTCTTCTCCCCGGCCATTTTACAAGTTTCTCTATAAAACGTTCTTAATAAAAACAACCGACACCTAATTTAGAAAAATAAAAAATAAATTCTTAATGATAAAGATAACTATAATAATATAATGCTTGGAATAATAACTAATATTATTACACACTAGAGCGCGACTACACGTAAGAAACACACGCAAACACCGTTAACAAATAACATTAACACACTAACACATTTTTATGAAGCCTCCTCTTCATACCCCAAGTGAACATAACGGGAACCCGTATTCGCTGTTTGTTTTTATGCCCCTACACAATGTAACGAAAACCGGTTTTAACATGAAAAGTAGGCCTATAAATAAAAATAAACCCACATGAATAATTGATCTGTCCATAAACGCGGAATAATTGCAAACGGCACGTTTCTTTTTTTTTTATACGCAATGAGAACGCAAATCGAATAATGTGACACTTCACATATAGATCCATTGGATTATGCAGTATTAGTATTAGTAGCATAATTAAACCAATTATATATTAATCAATGACCAATCAACAATAATCGTTTCGTCAAACGCATTTAGCGAAAATCTAAAATAGTAGGCACCTACGGCGAGTACACGCTTACGAAAGACAGAAAATATTAGATAAAGAAAGAACATACTATTTTATCTACGTATAAGATTAATAGTATTTAATGGACAATGATTACGTGATGGCTTAAATTATATCATATTGCATGTGCAAATGAATAACGATTTTTATTGGAAAAAAAAATGTATTATATCTTACTCACTGTAAACGTAGTGTTTGTTTAAATGTTTACTAAAATTCGATATTACGCCCGACACGGTTGTTACAGAATAATGGGAGGATTTAATGGAATACAACTACGTAATGATGATAAACAAAATGCGCGACAACGAGAACAACAATAGCAATTAGACAACTGCATAGATCAACTATCGAGAACGAAAGAATCTGAACTACGTTCGTCAGAGATGAAAAACCACGTAGAACGTAGAACAAATGCAGCCGGTCCCCTGGCCCGAGTTGTCGCGTCCCATTGGTCATCGGCGTCCAACAGTCGGGCCACATTGCCACAACTCGTCCGCGACTCAACAATCGATACGGTAGTCGGTTGGCCCTGCTGCCGATGAAGTGGCGACACTCTTCGCGTGATAAGTGTATTCACTTATGAACAACGATTAATCATAATATTCAATATTCACTCGCAACCGGTATACATGAGATATCTGTGAATGTATCGCAGGCTCGTGATAACTAGTAGTCCGTGGACGCCAGGGATCGGGATTGCATAATACGTTTCACGTTTTCTAACACTAGTCAGTTGGCCTAAGCGGTCGGTAGCTCGATACCTTGTGGGTTTGCTTCACTTTACGATTAGGCCATTTGATGGTACTTTTGGCCGTATAAAATACCAATCGTAGCGGGATCTATGATGACCAGACCACGAAATCAAGCTGAACAAGAATTGAAAGCCAGGGCCCGCATATATGTGGCGAACATACCGCAGGCCGGTATGTCACGCAAAGAAGTGGTTTCCGTGTTTCATAAATACGGAGAAATAGACAGTAAGTTATCGGCCGTTTGTATAGCTGTTGCTTTTGTTAAAATTATTCGATTTTTTAAAGATGTGTTGTACAAAATACTGACAAATAAGTATAGTAATTCGGTCTTTATACTGTTTCAATATTGCGTTTTTCTAGATTTTGTTTGAAATAATCTATGATCGCATATAACTTTGGTACAAACGGCATGAGAAAACCTCTGCTGCTGATTAGATAAGCTGCTTTAGATTGTTGACTTCAAAAATCATTGGTTTGCTTGTCATTAGTAGTTAATATTGCTATGTATACAGTGGCATATTTTCAATTTTTTGTGGAAGGGTCCACAGTTTATACATAATTAATATAAACTATATATTATATTGTAATAGTTACGTCCTTATGCAGTTTTTGGAGAAAATTGAACTAAATATATAATGTAATAATCATATAGTCTTATGTAGTATTATATATATATTTATATATTGTATTTAGTACTATATATTATAAAGTATATAAAATAAATTCCAGTCATCTCAATTTTTTGGCCAACTCCTCTATCACTTCATAAACTGTAATTTCAACTTCCCTGTGAATGTTTAACATAGGCAATCCTGCAAATATGTAAGAATTTTAGTTTATTTCTTATTTTTCGGAGAGGTTCTATGGGAGGTTTAGTACCCCTGGACCCCTCCCCTAAATATGCCACTGTATATATATATATATATATATATATATATATATATATATATATATA